TTTGTTTTCCACCACTCACATTCCAGACTTGCTGGCAAATTTGCCCACTAAATTTGCCCAATTATGCCCATCTTGATATTCCAACTACCCATGGCTATTGTTTAAGCCCTTATTGTATGGCTGGAAATTGTTCAACTGAACTTGCTTCCATTCGAGGCTGCTTTAAATCAGTGTGGCACCATGCAGGGCCAGAGTGATCATCTAAGATGATATATGTCCCTTTCACTCCTAAAATCCTTCCGGAAGCTCTATGACATTTTAGACAAGGATCTGAGCTCCCTAGCATGTTACTCAAGACCTTTTTCCCGTTCTGGTCTGCGTGCTCACATTTTGAGCTCCACCTCTGCTAGCTGCTTACTTTACCATTTCCCAGAATTTTCCAGCCTTTGTGTCTAAGCTCCTGGGAGGTCCTCAGGGCAGGGCCTTCTACCAGAAGTCAAATTAGCCTTGACTTCTTTTTTTTTTTTTTTATGTTTTTTAATTTATTTCTAGGAGGGAGAGAGAGACAGCGTGAGCAGGGGAGGGTCAGAGAGAGAGGGGAGTCACAGACTGAAACAGGCTCCAGGCTCTGAGCTGGCAGTCAGCACAGAGCCCGACGCGGGGCTCAAACCCACGAACCGCGAGACCATGACCTAAGCGAAAGTCGGACACTTAACCGACTAAGCCACCCAGGCGCCCCAGCCTTGACTTCTTATAGGGAGCTGCCCTTGACTTTTCCCCCTCCTCCAACTAATCCTGGCCAGTGGCTCCTCCTTTCTGTTCATCTAGAACACTCTGCTTCTCTCTATCATGATCTATGTCAAATTGTCACTTTACACATTTATCTCTTCAACTACCTCCTTCATGACAGAGTACGTGGATAGTGGGAATCCAAGATTTATTCAATTTAACCTAAATTGCTTTTTGAACTTTTAGAACGTGCAATAGTGCCAAGCCTTGTTCCAGCATTCATTAGGGCCTTGGCAGAATTAGTTCTGTCTGGAATAATTTTCTTCCCACCCACATTCTCCTTATTTCCTACATAGCACGTATTATCATTTCAAATTATTTATGAAGGTAACGTACTAGTAGTTAAGAGCCCAGGTACTGACATTGCACTGCCTCATTTCAAACCACAAAATGGGTGAACTTACGCATTTTTCTCACTCTGTATATGTACCTGTGCAGTATGTGGTTCCTTCCTTATTTGCATAATAGGACTAGTCATCCTCGTTTTGAGGATTAAATTAAAGGAGATCATATGTGCTAAACAGACTTGAACCTGAAAGTAGCTAATAGTGCTCTATTAAAAAAAATTTTTTTTTTAAATTATGGAATGGCTGCTTTGTAAGCTGTATGAAGACAGGGACTTAGATATCTTCTTCAATATCTTGTCCCAGTGTCTCGCATGGCATGTAGTAAGTGCTAAATAAATCTATGTAATCTGAATGACTGAATAAATGACCATCCTTACTTTGGAGTATGATAGCAAAAGATAGAATTCAGTAGGCAGAGAGGGAAAGGATAGGACCTGAGGTTCCTGGGGGGCAGGTATGGGGAGAGAACACATATTTTGGAACAATGCTGGGAGTATCTGACCACAGCAGACTTCCCTGGGTCTAAGTTCCTCTTAAGAATGTAACCAACACCAGGATGCCTGCGTGGCTCAGTTGGTTAAGCGTCCAGCTTCAGCTCAGCTCATGATCTCAGAGCTCGTGGGTTCGAGCCCAGCATCAGGCTCTCTGTGCCAACAGCTCAGAGCCTAGAGTCTCCTTGGGATTCTGTACTCCCTCTCTCTCTGTTCCTCCCTTGCGCGCGCGCTCGCACACACGCACACACACACACACACACACACACACACACTTTCTCTCTCAGAAATAAACATTAAAAAAAAAAAATGCAACAGACACCACCTCCATCCCCAACCCCCCCCCCCCCATTCCCTCAGGAATTCAATGAAAGCCCTAACTAAAAAGACCTAACAATAAAACATATGACCTACAAGGATAGGGACATAGACCACCTCTCCTACAATGCCCTGGAGCTAATCAGGAATGCACCACCCGGCACCTAGAGGTATTAAGTCAGTAAGGGTGTGACCTGAGAGGGAAGGAAGTGGGGGAAGGGGGGGGAGTGGCGACAGAACCTCATAAAACAAAGACTCTTGTCTATTGTCACGGGCATTCACTTTCAAATGCCCCCCTCTCTGTAAAGAGAGCTTTCATACTCTTCTTATTCTCTGATCTTGTACTCTAATAAACTTCTGCCTGCTGCCCATTCGGTGTCCACCTCTTCATTCTTCGAAGCGGCAAGACAGCAAATCTCGGGTATTGAGGGAAAAAGTCTCGCAACAGGAGTATTAATTGAAGACAAGTAGGGAACTGTGCCTGCTTAAAGCCATATCAGTGGCCTGCTCTAATTGACAATTAACTTCTAAGCCTTGGGGCACCTGGTGGCTCAGTCGGTTAAGCATCCGACTTCAGCTCAGGTCATTATCTCAAGGTTCGTGGGTTTGAGCCCCATGTCGGGCTCTGTGCTAACAGCCAGCTCCGAGCCTGGAGCCTGTTTCAGATTCTGTATCTCCCTCTCTCTCTCTGACCCTCCCCTACTCACGCTCTCTCTCTCTCTCTCTCTCTCAAAAATAAATAAAACATTAAAAAAAAAAAAAAAAACTTCTAGGGGCGCCTGGGTGGCTTAGTCGGTTAAGCGTCCGACTTTCGCTTAGGTCATGATCTCACGGTTCGTGGATTCGAGCCCCGCGCCGGGCTCTGTGCTGACTGCCAGCTCAGAGCCTGGAGCCTGTTTCAGTCTGTGACTCCCTCTCTCTCTGACCCTCCCCTGCTCATGCTGTCTCTCTCTCTCTCCTAGAAATAAATAAAACATTAAAAAAATTTTTTTTAAAAAAGTCTAAGGCTTATATTCACTTAGCTACATAAACAAGCAACCTTTTTAAAAAAGTGTGAATGAAAACACTTGGCTAAAAGTTAGATGAGTGGACTAATTTTTTTAATGTTTATTAGTGGACGTGGCTCTTATCTGCTTCATTCAGAACTGAGAGTATCATGTCTACAGTTGACTAAGAACCTGTTGGAATAAATATGCTCAGGTTAAGGTGACCTTGCTCTACAGAAGACAGTCTCAGGATGATGTACTATGAGAACAAAATGACAAAGTGATGTAGGAGCTAAAATCCAACCACTATCTTGGATATGGGTTTTTGTTTTGTTTTTGTTTTTTAGTGAAAATCTTAGCTTCGGGGCACCTGGGTGGCTCAGTCAGTTGAGCATCAAACTATTGATTTCAGCTCAGGGCGTGATCCCAAGGTCATGGAATTAAGCCCTTTCTGGGACACTGTGCTGAGTGCTTCCTCTGCACTTCTCCCCTGCTTGCACACTCTCTCTCTAAAAAAAAAAAAATTCTGTAGGATCGCCTGCTTAACCGACTGTCCAACTTCAGCTCCGGTAAAGATTTCACAGCTCGTTGTCTTGAGCCCCATGTTGGGTTCTGTGCTGACAATTCAGAGCCTGGAGCCTGCTTTGGATTCTGTGTCTCCGTCTCTCTGCCCTTCCCCTGCTCTCGTGTTCTCTTTCTCAAAAGTAGATAAAGATTTTAAAAATTTTTATCAAAAAATGATACGAAAAAGCTTCCCTCAGCACAAACTATCGTATGAAATCAGTGGTGGAGACAAAGGAGAAGAAAGGACACCTTTCACTTTTTAGTAGAGTAAGAGGTAAAGTTCTGAAAAGGAAGGAAAGTCTAAAGTCTGCTTCCCTGGTTTATTTTATGTGATTTTTTTTAAATCACAAAACTTTCAACCAAGAGATTTTTTTTTTATATATTTTATTTTTTAAGCAACCTCTACACCCAACGTGGGGCTCAATCTCACAACCCCGAGTTCAAGAGTTGCACGCTTCACCAATGGAGACAGACAGGTGCCCCTCAACCAAAAGAATTTTTAAAAATAAGTCAGTGGGTAAATGGAATAAGAAGAGTTAATGCTAGGAGCCCCTGGCTGGCTCAGCCGGTAAATCATCCAACTTTAGCTTGGGTCATGATTTCGCAGTTTGTGTGTTGGAGCCCCGCGTCGGGCTCTGTGCTGACAGCTTGGAGCCTGAAGCCTGCTTCAGATTTTGTGTCTCCCTCTCTCTCTGACCCCATCTCGCAGTCCCCTGCTCTCACTCTGTCAATCTCTCTCTCAAAAATAAACATTAAAAATTAAAAAAAAAAAAGAAGAAGAAGAAGAGTTATGCTAGAAAAGCCAGGTTGAAGAAAGGTACGGAGGCTGAATGTGGCCAAGTCAGACAGGATAATACAGTAGCTACTTAGTTCTCACACTCAGTGGAGACCATCTCAGTGGATCAGTGGGAGCAAAGCACTACAAGTTCTGGTCACACTGCCCCAAAGCACATAAACACCAACGGACCTCCCCATTCTGGGCACTGAAGGCCCAGGGCCAGCATCTTCATTTTCCACCTCCAGAACCCATATCAGTTCTTCTGCTGGTCAGTTATTTATGTGTTAACATCTTCAGTCCTGTCCCGCATTGTACGTTGTTTGTCATATTATACAGTCTCAAGAGCTGGGGACTCATGATGTGCAAAGCTTCAATGTAGGCAGGTGGCAATGGTTTCAGAGGTCAGAAAGGAACAGGAACAGGTTCTAACAGGAACCCCATAGACTTGGGGCTCTGGCCACGAGTCTAGGGAGTCAAGCCGCTGCATCTTAGCTCCTTTCTCAGGGAAGACGCTAATACTGCAGATTCCCTCCTTGGGCAAATGGTAGCGGGCTTTCTAGTAGTTTTTGCTTGTCCAAAGAGCACAGAATCTCTTTTCTTTAAGACCCAAATACCTTTTCTTGTTTCTAATGTTTGTATCTAGAGTCTTTCAACTATAAGCCAGATGAAAGAGCAATTCTAGCCCTTTCCGACTCAACCGAAAACGGGAGGACTGAGGGAAGGTGACCATAGGAGGGTGAGGAGGAGAGTGGGGGGTGGCAGGGGGTCTGGTCAGGTGTATACTCACCACTTTTTGGTTCCCTTCATTATCTGTGAGCAGCCATTCAATATCCAGCGTGTCTTTTTCTGGAAGCCCCAGTTGATGGTGACAGGGCAAGGTGACCCGTTCCTCTGCCACTCTCTTGATCTCAGTGTGGGTCCCCAAGGTTCCAACATGGAAGGACACTGGAAGAGAAGAGCCTCTAATGAGTGAGGCAGAAACTGGATAGCAACATACAGGAAGCAAATATTACAAGTATTAATCATTGGGTGTTCTGCAGGCAAGAGGCAAATCAAGGTGTTGGAAGAAACCTAGACCAGAAGTACCGGAAGTTCTAAAATCTCACACTTGCCCCTTCATTAACGGAATTCATTGTATCTGCCATAGCCCCCAAAATTACACTCTTGTCTACCTTATTGATTTTTTTATCAGTGATGCAACCACTCAGGTCAACAACTGTGTTATCTGGACTTTCTCTCCTTTACTAGCAGAAGCTTCCATAAGAACAGAGACCAAAGGAAAGGCAGGGGTTGGCGTCCTTCCCAGAACAGGCTCTAGAAACTAAAGAAAAGAGGAAAAGAGGAAAAAGAGACTGTAGTTCCCTCTCCGGGGGGTAGATTGGTTTGACATCGCAGGGCTGGACCCCCAGAGGCATCTACCCTGAGAGAAGCAGCAGGTGGACTCCCAAATTCCACAGCAAAGAAAGGAGACCACAGAAATCTGTTGGGTATAAGAAGGGGTCTTCAGAACCAACAGGATAAGCCCCTCCTAGAGTTTCACTGACATTCCAACCAAGGTTTCTGTTGTTTCTGTTTAGAACTTAAACTGCATTGAGAGTGGCCGCCATTTTGTGAGCACTTTGCGTGGTTTGGCTGAACGCTGGGTGTTCATCCCCATGAAGAAAGCGTTATTATCCAAATCTATGGATGAAACAGGAAGAGGAGCTTAGCAGTTTGCTTAGGGTAACACAGCTAAAAGTGGACAGATCAGGGGCTCAACCCCAGATCTGTCTCACTGCAAAGCTCCGGCTCTGACAGCCAATATGTGCTGCATCTGCCCTGTGTCGTATGCGGCTTCCAGGATATCTGGTTCTCCCGTTGGCCTGTAGGCTCCTTGAGGTTAGGTACCATTCACCGCTACATTCTCATGCACTCAGCTCAGGGTCTCTCACACCGCAGGTGCTCAATAAATAGTTGTTGGATTGACCTGAATTTAACCTGTGTACTCATTCACCCATGAGCAAACTGAGGCCCAGGGATAAAGGAGTTGCCCTGAGGTCCTACAACTCATTTAAAGGCAGGAATAACCCATATAAAACCCATCCCCCTCAGTCCCCACAAAGCACACTTCCTATAGAGCAGAAGGAGATTAGTTCTTTGGCATTGCACTAAGCTAAGCTTGTTAAGAAGGAGCTCTGGCTTCTACCCGTGCTCACTTTCCACTGGACACAAGAGCGATCGAATGAAACCAGCATCCCACACCCCTGGCGAAGCTAGAGAACCCAGAACCAATCTGGTGCATACAGTAGGCACTATATGATAAATAAATAAATGCAAAGAAACAACTATGAAAGTTGCCGATTTGAGCCACTAGAGGGAATCAAAGGCTCAGATTTGGTTGCTGTCCCAAAAGGAAAGGAACAAAGTGGTGGGTGGTGTGTTTTGCCAAGTTCTATTTATACCATATCCAGAATTACATACAGCAGCGTGGGGAGGGGGCCCGCCAGCGAATACAAATGACTTTACCAAGGAGGTAAAGTCTGATCTCAAGATCAGAGTGCATGCACCTCTGGTTCTCCCTGAACCTCAGCTCCCCAGACTTCAGGGGGTCACCTGGATCCCTGTGTGTTTCTCAAATTTCTCCTTCTGTGATTCCCACCCTTCTGCCACTACCCTCCCCTCCCCCCCGCCACACACACCTGTGTCCTGTAGCCTAAGCAGACAGGGGCCTGGGCTCTACGTATAATTCTCAAGCTTGGCAGTGTGTAAGGGGACTGCCAAGCATGTGTTCCCTGCCCAGTGGGTGAGTGGGAAGAGCTGGCCCTGGGCTCACAGACATTGAAGGAATTCATCATCGTTAAGAAAAACCTTAAGAGGGACACCTGGGTGGCTCAGTCGGTTAAGCATCTGACTGCAGCTCAGGTCATGCTCTTGCAGTTCGTAAGTTCGAGCTCTGCATCGGGCTCTGTGCTGACACCTCAGAGCCTGGAGCCTGCTTCAGATTCTGTGTCTCCCTCCCTCTCTGCCCCTCCCTTGCTCACACTTTGTCTCTCTCTCTCTCTCTCTCAAAAATAAACAAAAAAAAAGTTACAAATCTTTAAAAAAAATCGCTTAAGAGATCATCAAAAACCTAACTTAGGAGGAAACTACAGCCCAGAGAAATGAAAAATAAAGACACAGAGTGAGTGTTAGTGGCAGAACCGCTAGTAGAGAGATATAGCTGATCCTGGAACAATGCAGGGTTAGGGACACTGGTGCCCCTCACAGTCCAAAATCCATGTACAACTTCTGCCTCCCCCAAAACTTAACTGCTAGTGGCCTACTGTTGACGGACATCTTTACCGACAATACAATCAATTAATACCTATTCTATATGTTATATGTATTGTACGCTGTATTCTTGCAATAAAGTCAGCTAGGGAAAAGAAAATACTAAGGAAATCATAGGGAAGAGAAAATGCTTGCACAGTACAGTACTGTCAGAAATCCACATATGAGTGGATCCACACGATTCAAACTGGTGTTGTTCAAGGGGCAGCTGAAGTCTCCACTGGGTGTCTGGGACACTCGTGGCCCTGGGTGGTGGGGAGGCGCTGGAAGGTAGCAGGAGCGCAAACTTTCTCTGTGTGCACGGGTGCAAGAGGCAGTCCTGGACACCTAGGGCTCTCTCTAAAGGAAGGCTTCTGCATACAACTCAGGCACTCAACTCAGGACCTTTGGGAGCTTGAGTTTTGGGAGAATTACCCTTTGTGAACCTCAGCGTTCTCATCTGCATAATGGGAATTCACCAAGAGGTAAGGTACCCAGCAGTGTGATGGTGCATAGGAGTCTCTCCCCTAATGTAGTCAGTTCCCTTCCCCTGCTTTTCTCTACTGGAAGGGTTATTGTTTTTTCTTTCTTTTTTAATGTTTATTTATTTTTGAGAGAGAGCACACAAGTGGGAGAGGGGCAGAGAGAGAGAGAGAGAGACAGCAAATCCAAAGCAGGCTCCAGGCTCTGAGCTTTCAGTGGAGAGGCCCATGCGGGGCTTGAACTCATGAACTGTATCATGCCTGAGCCAAAGTCAGACGCTTGACTGACTGAGCCACCCAGGCACACCAGGATTTTAGTTTTTTCTTTTCCTCAGATGATGGCTGCGTACCTTCAGCTAAGATCAGTTTAAGGTTTTATTCTTTAAAGCGCATTTACTAAAGATTCTCTTGAACCTTCAAGATTTCCTTCAACGTTCGGTTGTTCAGCCTAAATACTTTTATATAACTGAGGGAAACAAGACACCTGTTTTGAAGGTGAATCCATTGAGATAACAGTAAATTTTAAAAACGAGGTTTCTACAACCAGTTGACTATTCCATTCACATTAAAAGAGTCATAATCAGAGCCTTTAAACATTTTTATGTCCAAAGAGCTACATCGTTTCTGCTGTCAGGTAGATAGATATCTTGGATGAACCGTTCAAGGAAATTCATGCAGTCCGACTACACGAAGCCTATGTTCTTCACATACTTGTGTTTCCATCACCTATGGAGGCCGTATTTCTGGATCAGACCGATGACATACAGACAATTTTGCCAGTTTGAGCAGACACGGCAAGAGCAAGAACTTGGCAAACCTTCTAAGATGGCTCCTCTAGAGAGAGCTGCTCAAACCCATCTTGTTCTCATGGGTGCAAGGAGGCACATGGTCAGGATAGTTTTTAATAGAAACTAGGATGCTACATTAAAAATACCTACTTCTCTCTTATTTCCCTAGTAGAGAATTCTTCAGTTTCTCAGATACTCCTTGATGCCTGCAGGGTGCAAGCTGCCCTAAGATCTCAAGTTAAATCTGCCTGCTCACTCCCTGCCAAGGATGGATGGCCCATCACTGCCATTGCCACATGGGCACCCAACACTCCCCGGTGCCTCCACCTAGGAGAGCCCACAGTGCTTGGTGCACAGGTCAATGATAGATAGGTTCTTTTTTTTTTTTTTTTTAAGACTTGATCTATTTACTAGCCTTTGTAGACCTGTATTTTGCAAGTAACAAAGTTAGAGAGCCGCAGTTAGTAACTCCCTGATGTTAGGTACAGGAGCTGTGCCCTTCTACCCTTTAATGTACAGTGGGCCCCCCACCAATGGGCTCTTGCGGTGGGTAAGTACCTCCTTCCACTCAGTGATCGTACTTTTTTCAATGGACCTTTACTTACTTGAATGGGAAGAGAAGTTTCTTGTGTTTCCCTTTACATGTTCCAGAAAGCCTCATGAGAATCAAAATTAGCAAATGTCCATCAGAAAAATAAAAAGGTCTTTGGCTATGTTTAAATCAATTTCTCTCATTTTACTGATCAAGAAACCGAGGCTTAGAGAGAAGTGACTCACCCAAAGGCCTCCTGATTTGTAGACTAATGACATACATACAATTCTGTAGGGGTGGTGGTGGTGGTGGTGGTATGTGTGTGTGTGTGTGTGTGCTTGCACGCGCGCAGGCATGTGCCTTCCTGACTGTTTCTGGAACACTCCATACAATTCACGATACCGCACTGTGTAACAGAAAGAGCATAAACTTTAAAGTCAGATCGACCAGGACTTAAATGGTGCCCATAAGTCCAATTAATTTCCTGACCACTCTGGAAATTAATTTTTTCTTCACTGTTAAATGAGAAGAAAAACATCAATGCCTGTTGTAGGATTACATCTGATGTAGGTAAAGTGTGTAGCACTGACACACGGTATATGGTAACTACTCACCACATGGTAATTATTATTATTCATTATTCTACATACTGTAGACAAGAAAAACCAGAAGACCATGCTGAGGAGATGACGCAGGATGGTGAGGAGTTTGGAAGTCATTTTGCTTGATAACTTAGTATTCGGCCATATTTGCTTTGTCTCTCTCTCTATTTTTTTTTTTTTTTTTTTTTTTTTTTGGGTGAAAGTAATTTGCAGATAGCACAACATTAACCCTCTAAACGTTTCAGCGAGCACC